GCAACACATCTCGAAGAACAACAGTTACAGGTAAGTAACCGTTCTTTTACTCTTACACTCCAATTTAAAATGATGTAAACAAATAATATCTAAAAATAAAATATTAGCTATTGGAATTTAAGATAAGCTCTCAAAAATCACATACCAAAAATTAATAGATGGGTCTGAGATCACTTCCACTGGTGGAATGAGAGGACTCAGAATATGAAACCTTTTGTAGCTGTTAGATCATTAACTTCATGATCAGTGTGAACATGTCCCTAATGGTTATATTGCTCTAGAATGGTTCAAGGACTGCAGAGCCCATCATGTGATTCTGATTGTCAGGACGTATAGAAGATTGTCCATGGAAAAATATAAAGCCTCCTCCTGCAATCAGTGGAGGAGTGGAACCACACAGAGTCTAATGAAAGTAGAAGTTGAGGCTCAATTTTGAAATGAGTTCAGCATCCCCAGTCACATTCTGATACTGCACTTGTACAATTAATAGGAACCTAGTCAAAATATAGTTGTCAGTTGTAGGTGGTTAAACTCTGCTGTAGCACCCCTATCATCAGAGCATCACACTACAGGAGTTCTTGCCTGTATGCCTTCTATAAGCCATCTGCCTTCGTGCACAGTTCAGCCTTCTGACAGAGGCATGCTGTTCAGATCCCTTGAGGTTAAAAAAAAAGTTTGAGACACTTTGGATATTTGTTTTATCAACTCTGTGTCTGGGTTCTGTCTGCATTCCTCTTTCCGGGGTGCTCTGATGTCTTCTCCCCCCGGCTTCAGTATTGAGCACTGGACCCTCAGACAGTGTCATCCTTAGCTGTTTCTTCTCCTACAGGCTGGTTCTAGCCCCTTCCCAAAAATCACCGTGTTCTCAAGTTCCTTCCATAGACTGAACTCTCCCAGCTTTTTAGAAGACTCACGTATCCATTACATTTTTATCACCTGATGCCTTTTAGTCCACTCAGTCTGGCTTAGAAACACCTAATCAATTACAGACAAGTGTAGTGAGACTAATGGGCTTTTTTAGTCCTTTGTAGTTGACAATGAGGTTTCACTGCATCACAGCCTCTTAAAATTTCTTCCCTCTCTCTCAAAATTAAAATAGAGAACATAAGGTATTCTGCATGGAAAAGCAAGAAAAATGTTAGTTTTTCAAAATTAAGCATAAATTAGTTTAATTACTCATCTGAGAATGGTGTATACGAAATGCAAATAAGATAATATATAAAAACTGAACTGTATAGAGAATGGTTTTAAATTAATATAATGCTAGCATATCTATACAATTCATGTGTTTGTGTATTACCTATCAAAATCAGTAATGCTCCATGTCATCAAAGCAAATCCAAAATATTACAAATCCAGTGGAAAATTACACTGCAAACAACAGATCATGACCCTTAGCTCCTGCATCATTCAAAGCAGACTGTACACACACTTATAATTATACATTGTACATTATATATTGTGAATACTAGGCTGCTGACATGGCATTATAGCAATAAAACTCAGCCAGTAGCATTAACGAACCATCCTTCTGTTCAGGTTTTTTGATAAAACGCACCCATGGAGAGAAGCTCGAGACAAGGAAAGAATAAATGGAAATTGATCCTGTCCAGGAAGCCGCTATTGCTTCAGCGAGTATGCTGCAATGTAACAGCCTTGTCTGAAATCTGGCCCAATAAAACATTTCTACCATGAAGAGCAAGTGATTCTAACAGCTGGAGACATAGTCTCAGTGTAACCATGAAGGCTGGAACCATTGAGTATTTGTGCTTGTTGGACACTCTCCCTTCTGATGAAGAATATGATGACTGTACCTATTACAGTGCTTAACAACATTACCATCTATGATGCTTTGTGCAAAGCTTCACTGAAATTCGTGATAGATATCCTCTCCTTCAGTCATCAAGCAATTTATATTTGAAGTCCAGAAAAATGATATTTTTGCTTTTTGGAGACAAAACCTCTGGTAAGATGTAGTTGAAGTGCAGAGTATGTTTAGGGTATAAATGAGCTGTTTTATAGTGTATTTCACTTTGGGGGATGTGTGGTTTATTTTAGCAATTTTGAGTTTTATGTAGTTATCCAAAAATCAGGGGGTTTCAGGACTCTCTTATATATACTGTAATGAGTAATCTCTGTAAAATTCCCTAGTGCTTTATCTTTAGTACTGTATCAGCTGCTAGGAGAGGTATCATAAGTAGCTCTAGGATTTCTCCATCCTACAGGGCAGCAGAGCTCAAAACACTGAAAGTGCAATCAGGGCAGCCATGGTGGGACATTGATGGAAGCCTGTTCTGTCAACAGAAGCAAACAGCAGTGTCTACACTGGCTCTTCGTCAACAATAAAGGCAGAGGAAAAGAAAAGTCTGTTAGGGGTGGAAGCTTTTTGTCATTGAAATTGAGTTTTTCCCAGCAAAATCACATTGCAGTATGTATGCTTTCACAGTTTTGTCACCAAAACTTGGTAGTGTAGACAAGACCTTTCACAACGTGTGTTCGGCTCAATACCAGTCCAAAGGAGCACAATGACATTGAAGTAGGATGCCTATTTAATATTTGTCTTTTAAATAAGCCGTTTCTCTGTGGTAGGATTGGAAAAATAATTATCTTTTGTGTAAGTCTCCTTCCATGGATAAACATTTGCGACGTTACTGTTTAGCTGTGATTGGGATGGACAGGCAAACACGACTCCCTTGGTCTTGGGGAATGCTTTCTCCTACTCTCAGTAGGGATGTTAAATTTTTAATTAATCGGTTAATTGAGCGGACGATGGAATTTCCTTCAACTATTCGATGAGTCAGTAAGGGGGGCACTCACTATCCCTCTGCCTCTCTCTCTTTGAAATGTACAGGAGCCTCCCTTAGTGCTCTGCCTTTGAAATGTACAAGAGCTGCAGCAGCTCCTCTACATTTCAAAAGGAAGGAGGCACAGCAGGAACCCACGCCAGAAGGGGACTAAAGCAGTCCCCGTGGGCACAGGTTCCCCTCTGTGCCTCTTCCTTTGAAATGACAAGAGCTGCAGGAGGCTCTTCTACATTCCAAAGGGAGAGGAGCAGTGGGACCAGTGCAAGCGGGAGTGTTTCAATCCCCGCTTGCGCCATTTCTCTGATGCTCCCTGCTTCCCTTGCCCCCATGGAGATGGTGCGGGGAGGGAAGGGGAAGGAGGGACCAGCTTTTAAGCCAGTTCCCCCCATTACCGGCTCGTGCTCCCCCTCCTTTCTGTCTCTCTCTGATAGAGGCAGCAAGGTGTGTGCGTGTGGGGGGGGAAGGGGGGAGAGAAGAAGCGACTAGTCGAGTTGCTACTTGACTACCCAATAAGAATTTGCTTATCAGCTAAGTCAACTAGTTGTTTACATTCCTAACCCTCAATCCCCATTTTTTGCTCTGCTGCTGAGGGGAATCATATCTCCACCCCATAGGTGGTCACTCCCTCCTGCCACCCTTCCCTAGAAGGCTACGTGTTGATCTAGGGGAAAGTAGGGTGCCATTAATGACATCCACAGTGGAACCAAGCACCATAAAAGCAGAAAAAAATAATTTGGAATGATTAATTGCTGTCTGAGCCTACAGCTATATGAAGAATTGCTAACTAAATTATAGAGACCACAACAGGGAGGGAAGGAGTGCAGCCTCCAAAGAACCATCCACACTGCTTTATCTGGAGCCACAAATGCATGTTTTCAGTGGGTGTAGATCAGGGGTGGGCAATAATTTTTGCCTGGGGGCCACTTCAAAAATTTTTGAAGTGGCCTCAGGCCACCCCAGAAGGGGAGGGGCTTAAATGGGAAAGGGTGGGGGAGCCCCTTTGCCCCCTCTTCCCACTAGGCACCCATGCCCTGGAAAAGAGTTGGAATGCTCCCCCATCCCCAGGCCAATCAGGGCCTGGGGGTGGGGGAGCGCGGGAAGCCTCCTCCCGCCCTGTGAGGAGCACATGGCACTTTGAAGTGCTGCGGACTACTTGCAGAGCCGGGGCAGAGCAAAGGAAGCTCCACCAAGCCCGGGGAGCATGCAAAGCCTCCTCCACCCCTCCCCTGCGAGTGTGGAGTGTGCGCGCTCCCTCGCCCCCAGGACAATTAAGACCTGGGGGTGGGGGAACGTGTGAAGCCTTATCCACTCTGCCCCCGCCCTGCGAGCAGCACATGGCGCTTCAAAGTGCTGCGTGTTGCTTGCAGGGCAGGGGTAGAGCAGAGAAGGCTTCCAGCACTCCCCCACCCCTAGGTCCTAATTAGCCTGGGGGCAGGGGAGCAGCAGGGCCTCTGTGGGCCGGATCCACCCGCTTGGCTCACCCCTGGTATAGATGTTATAGGGAAAACCTGCATGATTCAAGATCTACCCAACTGCTCTTCTCTGCCTCATGCCATGCCTGACTCATGTGATGTACCCTCAGCTTGCTTTCAAAACTCCTTTATGGTTTATGTCAATGTTTAAAATCACTAACCCAGTTCAAGTCTATATTTAACTAACAGATTTACTCAACATTGCTCAGGTCTAACTCAAATAAGTTTGTTTTTTCTTCATTTAAACCATCGCTCTTGAGATGGGGGCTGGGTATGAGGGATGGACACAGACAAATGTACAAACTCTCTCAAATATATAGTAGATTGCAAATGTAGGGGAAAAATGAAACTATTAGAGAATAAGCAAAAGGATTTCAATATTGTTCTAAAGAAGTTTTTAGCTAATTAAATATTAGAAAGTTTTACATTATTTAAGAGAGAATAAAAAGCTAATAAATCAGAGTATCAAATAGTTCTACCCATATTCTCAGGGCATTTGTATCAATAATTTGGTGCAGAATAGTATACAGGACAACAGTAGGATTTCTTATGTTCAAGACTGTTGGAAATATTTCAGAATAACTTAAGATTGTTATGTTATTAAGGTATATTTTCCATTAGAGCCAAATCCTACTGTTCTCACACAGGTAATGTCCCACCTGAATTTATTGGGACCATGGACTGTGTAAGGATGGCAAACTACAGTAACTCCAGAAGCTGAGAATACTTTGAAAAATGTATCATTTTATTTGTACACTTAGAAAGTTGTACGTAGAAACTTATAATACAGTCCTGAAGTTGCTAGAAGAACTGCCAGGAGGAGGAGAAGGTATTATTTTATCAACCCATCATCAGGATTAGAGGAATAAACAAAACACAGGAAAAAATTAAAAAAAAAAAAAAAGTTAAGGAACTCTTATCCCCCCCCACATACAAATTTTATAAATACAAAACAAATTCACAAATTACTTTGAATGCTAAATAAATATCTACTTAATAAACTCAGACTGAATACCTCCAGCCAGCACTGGCACAGTACTTTAAAGGATATGCAATTGTACTCATTCATGTGTAGTGTTGAAAAGGTGTACTCAGAATTTCAGACATTTACACAGTTTTTAACTGTGATACAGTAGAAGATTTTGAGTTGATAAAGTCCTCACAATACCACAGCTCCTAGAAAATCTAGAGGATAAAACAAGGTCATATGGTGCAGAAAAAATATTTCTGGAAGATATTTGGACACATGAATGTCTTAAAAATGTACAAAACCTCTGTAAACCAGTACTGTATCCAATAAATCTATCAAAGTTATCAGACACTGAATAAAACTGTAGCAAAGGTAATCTTTCCTACATTCTCCTGAGTGCTTAATATTAAATTGAGAATATAGTGCAGGCCACACTTCAAGGTGGTTAAACTGGTGTTATTGCTTTATACAGATACAATGACTGCATGATTTAATGTTTCATTTTCATGAATATAAAGGTTCCCTCAAAAATATCCTTTGGAAGGTAGAGGTTAAATTCTTGACTTCTTTGCAGCTGGGGCAGCGTGGTCCACATTACCAGATGCAATAGGGAGTCCAAGCTTTTGAGCCTGAACGTGGAAAAAAGCCTGAAGTCTAATTCCAGCTTTTGCTTCACTTGTATTACGAGGGTTGTACTCAAAACAGTTCGAAAACATCAGTTCAATGTCTTCAATGAATTCAGCTGGTAAATAAAAATTAAAGAACTGAGTTTAGTGCATTTGCCAGGTTACCATAGATAACAGTAAGACAGTTGCTGACAGAGATCTTCATCAATAAATGGGGTGAACTTAGTGCATATGTATACTGACAAATTTACAACCCTCCAATTAGAGTCCTCTGTCTCAAACTTCAGTGAATGCTTTTCTGATATATCTCATGAAGTGCCACAACCCTGTTTAACAGGTAACTTCTCAAGCCTTAGAGATGGTAATTGACACGCCAATAGCATTCATTTTAGCTATACTTCACCCGCATTAGTAGTACAACTATTAACACAATGGCTACGCTGAAAAAGCATTCATACATTTCTCAGAATGTATTTGAAGAAATACCAGTTTTTCAAATCCTTCCCCTCCAGCTCTGCTTCTTTAAGAGGATGAGATCTCTAACTGTTCAGCTCAGATCACAAGATTATTTTAGTAAATAGTACTTACATGCTAACTTGTATTCACATTTATTCACCTTTTCACGGATTATATTTAAGGCAATAGGTTTTTTGATAATATCATAGTAGTCTGGTACCTGCCCAAAAAAAAAAAAAAAAAAAGTTCACTATGTATATTTTTACACTAGACGATTTACCGGGCACTGCAGATACAGAGGGGCACAGCCAAGGTGGGGGAAAAGGTGTGCTTGTCCCCCAGCTGGGAGGCAGACAGACACACAGACAGACACACAAATAGAAACTCTCAAATATATAGCAAATAGCTATCCCTTTCTCCACTCCTGCCCCATGCTGGCCCAATGGGGTTATACCTGTCACCTTATTGCTTCCCCTCACTCCCACCTTCTGCAATATAACTCCCTCCTGCCAGACCCCTACAGAGAAAGCTGCACATGTCCTCGGATTTTCTACTGTTAGAGCAGAAAGACTTGTAACAGAACAGGCCCCTTATTGACAACATGCATTTTCTGAAATTCATCTGTTAGTTTCTTGACCTAATTTTAAAGATGTTCAAGCAAGAGACTACAAAATATAAAACAAATCAGAAACTTATTGACAGATGTGAAAGAAATTGAGCAAAGAACCCCAAACATAAATATCTGGCAGAGGAATTTTTAAAACAAAAGTAGTTTCATGTATAAGTAGAGCTGTTCTAACTTGTTACAATGCAAAAGTAATTTATAATATATAATATTACATATTGTACAACACTATACTGGAATTCATATTGTATAATACTATACTAGCTTCTAAGGGAGACTGTAGAATCCCAAATATTGGAGATTTTTTAAAAAACAGCTTGGACAAACACTGGTATGATATGGTCCTCTTAATCCTGCCTCTGTGCAGGGGACCCCTTCTATGGTTCTAAGGTATCTTCAAACTAGGGATGTGAACAGGTAATGGTTAATTGATGCCCAGGCTCCTCCAACTCCAATAGACCCACTGTGTTGAGCACCAGGCAGCCAACACATGGCTAGCAGCTCTGTAGGTTGGGGGCTGCTTTAGCTGGGCTAGCGCTGTCACCTGCATGGGATCCCACTTAACGTTGAACCAGTTAACTCAGGGGTGGGGAACCTCAAGCCTGGGGCCAAATGCGGTCTGAATCCGGTTTCCAAGGCTTAGCATTGGGAAGCCCACACTGGTGCTCGAATCACCCACCCGCAGGACCGGAGCACACAAAATCCATTACCCTGGGCCACCTAGGGTCTGGTGTGCAAGGGCAACGTGAGGAGTGTCTTTCTCCTCCTCAGTTAAGAGCTTCTCACTCTTACTTGTGTGCAGCTCCCAAGTGATTTTTCTGTGGGTCAGTGGCCCCGCTCCCCAACCCAAAAAAGGTTTCCCACCCCTGGGTTAATTGATTAAACAGCATTTTACATCCCTACTTCAAACTCCTCATTTTCACTCATAGAATACTAGGACTGGAAGGGACCTCGAGAGGTCATCGAATCCAGTCCTCTGCCCCCATGGCAGGACCAAGTACTGACTAGACCATCCCTGATAGACATTTATCTAACCTACTCTTAAATATCTCCAGAGATGGAGATTCCACAACCTCCCTGTGCAATTTATTCCAGTGTTTGACCACCCTGACAGTTAGGAAGTTTTTCCTAATGTCTAACCTAAACCTCCCTTGCTGAAGTTTAAGCCCATTGCTTCTTGTTCTATCCTCAGAGGCCAAGATGAACAAGTTTTCTCCCTCCTCCTCATGACACCCTTTTAGATACCTGAAAACCGCTATCATGTCCCCCCTCAATCTTCTGTTTTCTAAACTAAACAAACCCAATTCTTTCAGCCTTCCTTCATAGGTTATGTTCTCTAGACCTTTAATCATTCTTGTTGTTCTTCTCTGGACCCTCTCCAATTTCTCCACATCTTCCTTGAAATGCAGTGCCCAGAACTGGACACAATACTCCAACTGAGGCCTAACCAGCGCAGAGTAGAACGGAAGAATGACTTCTCGTGTCTTGCTTACAACACATCTGTTAATGCATCCCAGAATCATGTTTGCTTTTTTTGCAACAGCATCATTGCTGACTCATATTCAGCTCGTGGTCCACTATAACCCCTAGATCCCTTTCTGCCGTACTCCTTCCTACACAGTCGCTTCCCATTCTGTATGTGTGAAACTGATTGTTCCTACCTAAGTGGAGCACTTCGCATTTGTCTTTATTAAACTTCATCCTGGTTACCTCAGACCATTTCTCCAATTCATCCAGATCATTTTGAATTATGACCCTATCCTCCAAAGCAGTCGCAACCTCTTCCAGCTTGGTATCACCTGCAAACTTAATAAATGTACTTTCTATGCCAATATCTTAATCGTTAATGAAGATATTGAACAGAACCGGTCCCAAAAACAGACCCCTGCAGAACCCCAATTGTTATACCTTTCCAGCAGGATTGAGAACCATTAATAACTACTCTCTGAGTACAGTTATCCAGCCAGCAATGCACTCACCTTCTAGTAGCCCCATCTAAGTTGTATTTGCCTAGTTTATTGATAAGAATATCATGCAAGACCGTATCAAATGCCTTACTAAAGTCTAGGTGTACCATGTCCACTGCTTCTTCCTTATCCACAAGACTCGTTATCCTATCAAAGAAAGCTATCAGATTGGTTTGACATGATTTGTTCTTTACAAATCCATGCTGGCTGTTTCCTATCACCTTAATACCTTCTAAGTATTTGCAGTATTTTGTTGTAGTATGGGTGGTTAAATGCTGGAATAAATTGCCTAGGGAGGTTGTGGAATCTCCATCACTGGAGATATTTAAGAGTTGGATAGCCATATATCAGGGATGATCTAGATGGTGCTTGGTCCTGCTGTGAGGGCAGGGGACTGGACTTGATGACCTCTTGAGATCCCTTCCAATTCTAGTATTCTGTGATTTCCATCGACTCTGCCATTCCTGGAATGGACATCCTGTTATGCCCTGACATAGTCATGGCCAACAAGGAGCAGAAGTGGGTCATCATAGTGGACTTAGTGCCATTTGAGACTAAGACCCTGGCCTTCCAAAGGGTCTGGTCTGGGAAGGTGGAGAAATACATCCCATTGGCCAACACGAGAGTCCAGGGCTAAAAGGTCCAGATCCATGCCCTGATCATAGGACTCAAGTTACATTGCAAGAATTCTCTGAATCAGTCTTAGTGGTATTGCCCTCCTAGGTCTAGCTAATGAAGCAGAATCTGACAGTTAACATCATCCCCAAAATGTTGCTAAAATATATATGCACCTCAATTACCTGGATTTTGGAAACCAGTTTCATGAAAGGCCAGCTGTCATCATGTCGTACTAGTTCCACTACAAGTTGTTCAAAAGCTGATAGTTCATGAACTCCACCCTGACGACCCGAACTCCTCCTATTCAGTGAGGTTTGAGGAGACGAATCTGAAAAACAGATCACTGAACTTCTAACAAAAAAAGCAAGAAAATGACACACCAATATTAAGTCTTTAATAAAACACAACAACATTGGACGTTTAACATACCTAATGTTTAACAGAGCTAATGGAATGTAGGGTAGTCAGGAAGGTACACGATCAGGCAGGTCTCTCTTACAGTCTGGTCTGTTCAGCAAAGAGGTGGGAATTTTTTCCTGACGGAGTCCAATAATGTTTTAAATTCAGGTGTACTAGTAGCACATCTAAGTTTTATTTTGTCCAGATATTGTGAATAAGGTCTACAGGATGGGGTAAGTGGGGGTGGAAATCAATTTTGGCAAACAAGGAAGCAGAAATTCTTATGATTTAACTGCTTACTTTCCCTTTCCAGAGTATAAAGAAAAGAAATGGGACTCTGCTTCACTTCTTTGGAGGAGTGGCAAATTAGAGCGATAAAAAACTGAAGCATTTAGAGGTTCTCTCTCTCTCTCACACACAGTATAGCTACTCACTCATTTTGGGAGTCAATGTGTGTGTCTGTTCACAACAAAAATAAACAGCAGGTTGATAGTGAAGGTTCTGTACATCATGTTGAAACATAAACGTAAGGCTGGAAAGGACCTTGAAAGGTCATTTAGCCCATCTTTCACGCTGAAGTAGGACCAATTTGCACCATTCCTGACTAACAGTTAGTTGTCTCACCTCTTCTTAAAAACCTCCAATGATGGGAATCTACAACCTTCCTTGGGATCCCAATTCCAGTACTTAACTATCTTTATAGATAGAAAGAATTTACTTATTTGTAGAACCAATTCACATCACCTTTTATGCTCCATACTAGATGTAATCCACTTTGTGCCTTAGCCTGATTTTGTCCCTACATACTTTTGCTATTTTGTATTCCTTAGCAATTTTGTCCATTTCCCCCCATTTTGTAAGATTAATTTTTGAATTTCAGGGCAATAAAGAGCTCTTTGTGGAACTGTACTGGCCTCTTACTATTCTTCCTATCTTCCTTTGCACTAGGATAGTTTGCTCATGTGCCTTTAATATTGTCTAAGAAAATGCCAACTCTCATTAACTCTTTTTTCCTATGGGACTTTACCTACCAGTTCTCTGAGCTGGTTCAAGTCTGCTTTTTTGAAATCCGATGTCCTTATTATGCTGCTTTCACTCTAGAGTAGAATATACATAGGAACCAGCTCTCAAAGGAGAAAAGGTTACTTGCAAGTAACTGGGGTTTCTTAGAGAAGTGTGGTGCCTGTGTTCTACAACATGCCCTCCTCCTCCTCTGATTGGCTCATGTGAAACTGAAGTACTTTGGGGGTGAATTTCAGAGAAAGTCATAAAGAGAACTGGTCATTATAGAACAGGGGTGGGCAAGAGACAGCTAGTGGACCGGATCCAGCCTGCCAAGCCACTGGACCCAGCCCACAGCTGCCTCGTCAGCACCCTTACTACAGAGCAGTGGCAGCTACTTTAAACAGCAGGCTCCTAATTACAGTGCAATCTGGGCAGGGAGGAGAAAGCTCTGTGTGTTGTTCCCACCCCCTAGCAAAATGACCTAGCTCCTACTGGCTAGTTTCCAGACAATAGGAGCTGAGAAATTTTGCTGAAGGCAGGGTCAGCAAATGAAGCCTCCTTAGTCCCTCCCTCCCTGTGCTGAAGCAGAGCAGCCCACCCAGAACAAAAGCAGGGAGTCTGCAGAGCTGCTGGCTAGAAGCTGCCTAGGTAAGCACCTCCCAGCCAGGCCCTTCCCCAGACCCCCCACCCCCTTTCTCCTCCCAACTCCCTACTCCAGGCCACCACCTAAACCATCTACATCCTCTTCCCCTCCTTCTCCCAGGTCACAATTCCCTCCCAGACCCAGCATCCTCTCCTATACTCTTCCCCCAAGCCAAAACCCTGTCCTGTACCCATAACCCCTCCTAGACCCTGCACCCCAAGTCCTGCCCCAGATCATAACCCTCTCCTTCACCCAAACGCCCTCTCAGATTCCACACTCCCCTCTACACCCCACCCACCATCCCAGACCCCACACTCCCTCCACAAAGTGCAGCCCAAGTGCAGGGCTTGGAGTGGCCCTCATTAAAAATTATTGCCCAGCCCTGGTACAGAATATAGTGTCTAGCAGATCAGTCATTAGAGCTCCTAGCTAACACCCATGCTTCTGGCTCAAGTGATGCCCATAAGGAATACCCATAAGGAATGCAGCTTCCATTGATAAATTTGACATGATAGCTTATGGTGCTAAAGGAAGTTCAGTGAGTATTGAAAGCACAAGATTTTAGTTCCATTGAGGAGTAGGAAACTTTTGATTAGGTCCTTTAAGAATCTGGAAGTCAATCATGGAGTAAAAACTGAAAACCATCAGCGGGTAGATAGTATGCACTTATTGTTGCCAGGTCGACTCTTCTAGAACGGAGAGGAAGCCAATTGTTTTGAGAGAAAGAAGGTAGTCCAAAACGAAAGGAATATCTTCTGACTCAAGTGATACATGCTTCTCTGTGCCAAGATGGAAAAATGTTTCAAATTTGTCTGAACAGCATTTTCTAAGGAATCCTTTCTGCTGTTAAGGATCATTTATAGATCTTCAGAGCAGTAATATGCCAAAAATCAATCCACTAATTAGGCAAAACACTTCAGGATTGAAATGCTTGATCCTTTCCTTCTAGACCAAGAAATCAGAAAAGGAAGAACTAGATGGTGATCAGAGAACAAGATGACACCAAAACTGTCTGGGTCATCTGTGGGGTAATGAGGATGACTTATGCCCTGTAATAATGAATTTTCTGTAAAACCTGAGGTAGTAGCAACAAGGGAGGGAAAAAAGTATTACCTTGAGAGCCTAGTTCTAGCATTCTAGAGTTCCAAATATATGTTGCATTTCTTTTTGTTTAGAGGTGAATAGATCCTAGTTGTGGTCTCCATTGAGTGAAGACGCTATTTATAGCGGAATCATGCAATTTCCACTCACAATTGATGATGAAATGCCTGCTGAAGATGCCTGCAAACCCATTCTGAGTTCCTGAAATATAAGCTGCTAACAGGGTGATTCAATTCTTGATACACCAACTCCACAGTGTGACTGCTTCTACATAACCAGAGAACTGTTTGTGGATATAAAAGACAGTTGTCATGACATAATCAGAAAATGATGGGATTGTAAAAGTTGGAGAAAAATCTTGCAAGCTTCTCAGACTGCCGGCATTCCAGTTGTCGATGTGCATCCTGATCTCGTGAGACATCCAATTGCTCTGCACCATGTGACTGTCCATGTGGACTCTCCAGACAAATAGAGGTTTTTATAAACCATAAGGTAAGAAAGGGAAGCCCACAAATGCTTGATAGGAATCCTTCCACTGCATCAGGGAAGATGTTATTTTGGAAAGAATTGTTACCATGATATTCATGCTGTGTTTGGTTGGCAAATTATGACACTGATAGACCAGGTGTCAGTTCATGCCAGAGCCCAAGGCCAATTCATTTGTATATTAGCATAGATTAAAGTGATTGTTAAAAGTACACTTTTGCTGTTTAAAGTGGGATGTTATTTGCATTGCTTTCATTTGTATTCCATTATCATGTAAGAAACATTTATATTCTGTATAGGATGCAACTAAATAATCTATCAAAATGATAAAGGAGCCTTGTAGAGTGTAAATGAACACAGATATGCTCATTTCAAAGCAAGCAGTCTTTGTATGTGATGATTGGAGGTCAAAGGCCTAAAACATATTTCTCATTCTGTGTCAAAGGAAAAGTCCACCTGGTTAGTGACATTCTCAGCTTATTTTTGGTATGAAGATGCTGTAAGTAATGCTACATTTTAGTCACAGGTATTTTTAGTAAGTGTCATGGACAGGTCATTTCGGATTATGAACTGTGATTCTTTGTGTTTTTTTTTTTTATTTTTAATATGCTTTAACCTCCCAATATAGCTTACAGTACTTCCTTTTCTTAGCTAATAAACTTTTAGTTATTTTACCATAGAGTTGGCTACTTGCATTGCTTTGGGGTAAGATTTAGCATACTAATTGATCTGGAGTAAGTGACTGGTCTCTCAGGACTGGAAGCAACTTAAAAAGCAATGTAATTTTTGGAATAAGTAAACATTCTATCACAAAGTCTAGTTTGCCTGTGTGGCAAGATAGACTGAAGTCTAAGGGAACTGTCCTTCACAAGAGCTGCAAATCACTTTGTTTTTCCAGGGATGGGATTATTGATGCCAGAATGGCCATGTGATATCTCAGTTTATGAATAAAGCAATCTGGAGATTAGCATAACCAGGAGGGCTGACAGCACCTGGGGACTAAGGGGTTAACTATGTCTCCTGTCCCTAGCCAGGTATCTGGTCAGCCAATAGCAATGCAGGTAAGGGATTTCAAATGGGGATAAAGGAATTTTTATCTTTTCCCTCCTTTGTCTGAGTCAGAGCTGTTTTCTTCCAAGTAACAGGATTTTGGGGGGACGTTTTTGTACCAAAGCCTGTAGATAAGGTTTTGGGGTGCTTCTGTGGGCCCCCACTTCTGCATTTGTCATGCCAGAGAGGGGAACAGCCTTGACAGAGATAATGGAGCTTGAGGACAGGTCTCCAACCTCCCATCTTTTAGGATCTACATAGAGTAAAAAGCTGTCCATTGGTGTTAAAGTAGTATGTGGTTTATTGCTTCAGTAGAGAAGTTTCCACTCTTTTTGCTAGAGAGCTCCCTTGTGAGAATGGTCCCAAAAGAGGAACAAAGATGGGGATTTTGGAGGAGGTAGGGACGTAAACTCTATTGTATATTTGTAATGGAAGATATAAAATATCCACTTGACTGTTATGGCAATACAGTTGTGGAAACAGTGTTAAATAAATGACCACTGAAAAGTATGTGGGGGTAAGGCAATAGTGGAATCATAAATGGTGTACAACTCTTGAGCTCCCGTCAAAAATATCTTTTCACCAAGGAATGGGAATGAGTAGTGCTGTAGGCAGGAGAGGTACAAGGAAAGAAAAATTCTGTA